GCTATAATACTGCTTACCTCTTATAATACTAATATAACATAAATGGTTTTTCTAAATTTTCACCAAAAATGGGTTTTGAACTCCCAACCTACTACTTGAAGAGTTGACAACTTAACTACTTCACTAAGTCACTACACTCCTCTAAGCTGTTTTTGAAAATAGAATATTTGAAATAAGAGAAAAGAAAAGATTCAAGAAAGATAGCTCTGTTATTTAGAATAAATAGAATATTATAAGTTGAATTAGTAGAAAATTTTCAGCCAATATGCTTGATAAGCTGAATAATTTTAAAGTTTGTAGTTAGATAGTTGGGATCATTAATAATAGAATTGAAATATAAAAGAATATTGATAAAAGACCAAAGGTTGTTTTGTAACTATTAAATTTGGATATAAGTTGATGTGACTAATAGGTTAGAATTATTAAGTTATTTAAAAAAGTTGGAAATATGGTATTGCAGTTGAATGTCTCAGATGTGTTTGATATTATAAATTTAAAGATATAAAAGTATACTAGAAAGTATTAGATAGCAAAGTTTAGTTTTAAGTTTAACAAGACTGATATGTTGAGTAAAGATTTTATTGCAAGTAGGCTAACTAACTACAATGTTTTGAAGATGATATTCAAGAATAAGAATGATAACTGTGTTAATAATATAATAAGCATGTAAGTTAGTAATATGTTTGGCTTTAGCAATTTGAATAAGTTGAGAGAATTTAGCAATAAGCAGTTTTGTTTGTTTGGATTGCTTATTGTTTAAGATGAATCAGCAACCTAAAAATTTAAAGGATTGTTTAGAAGAATGTAGTAGAAGATAATGATTATTATAGAAGATAGAGATGTAATGAGATGGAGAATTATTTGTAATCAAAATAGATTCTGTATAATTAACTTAAATATTAGCTATAGCATAAAATAATTTAGCTATAAATAATATATTAGAAAGCTCAGTTTGTAATAAAGCAATCCAAAAAGTGTTATCTATATATACCAAGACAGAGCATTGTTTTTGTAATGAGTTAAATGTTTGGAGTTTAAGATTAGTAGCCCAAGAGGATTGTAGAGTATAACCAGGTACTTGTGCATATATATTTGAGATAAGTTAATTATAATATATGTGCTATAATAAAGAAGTAATAGTTTTATCTTGGCCAATATTATTGTGAACAGAGTATAAGAAAGTAAGACCAAAATTAGTAATAAGGGTGGTGTCATTTATCATCTGATTTCTTTTACATAGTAACTCTCTCCTCCTTCTTCCCTCCTTCCTTCACCTAATTCTAAAATTAATCAAAATTTATATATATTTTTTATATATAAGAAAGGTATTATTAATTACTTAATTATATATATATATATATATTATTTTTTCTCATCTAACTTATACAAATTTACTAATCAAATTATATAAATACTTATATATATTAATATAAAAAATCAAATATAAATAAATTACATGCATTCTATTCTATTTAAAAATTTTTTAATTCTTCTTATAATAATATAAATAAATTAAGCTTTATATTTTTCAACCTATAGTCCAAACTATAGTTGGCAGTAGAATTTATTTAACAAATTAATATGGTTACAATGTGTGCTAGATTATTTTTTGTAATTTCTTTGAGCTATAATACTGTAACCATAATGCCATAATGCCATAACAGTAATGCTGTAATGGTATAACTGTAATGCTGCTATGTCAAAATACAATAATGCTATTGCAGTATTGTATCTAGATATCATAATGCTATTATGCTAAAATAATATAATACTGCAATTAATGTTGTTAAATGAAACCTAAAGGTTTTGTCATTAATGAAAGTTGAAACCTAGTTTCATCTTTTATCAAAAAAAAATTGAAATGATAAAACTGACAAAAAGTGATAAAACTATGAAACTGACAAAAAGTAATGAAACTGATGAAAGATAATAAAACTAATGAAAGGTGTGTAGAGATTTTGGTATAGAACTTTCTTGTAATTGGCCAATTTTATACAATCAGAATTTATACAATTTAGAGTACTTTTTTTTAATATAGTAAAGTTCTTTTAATCATCATTTATAATACTATAGACAAACTCTTTATGAATAAAACTTTAAATATCCTGTATATCTCTGAGATTCACGTTACCTGGATATACCTCATGTAGAGACAGTTCTTAAGCTAGAAAGATAGTAATGTATAATAAATATATCTGTTAAGATTTTAGTTAATGCCCAGATCTGAGACTTTTAGTATTATTTAAGAATGCAATTAAAAACTTATGTTGATTTATTTATCTTTTTTAAATACTAAATAGGTTATACATACTTTATTCATTTATTGTCTATATTTAAGATAGTTTTATTATATGTTATGAAAGATTATGACTATGCTTTATATTTAATAAAAAAATTTTATTTATTATAATTTTTAGTTGATTTTTAATAGAGTTGCATGTATTATATAAATTTAAGATTTCTAGGCAGTATTTAGGCTGTATATAAAAATCAATATTAATGTATTATATTACTTATAACATAAAATTTTTTGATTGGTCAGTTGGCAAAATAACCAGTTATAATTGATATTCAATTTATGTAATCAGCCAATTATAAGAAAATCTTTCTATATGATCTAGTTAGAGTCAATATCATAATTAATTTAGTAGACAAGTATTTAAAATTCAAGCTTGCACATATTTGTCACTAATAATTACTCAATATTTAAAACAATCGAATTTTAAAAGTATTTATTTGAATCTTTCAAGAATTTACCTTAAATAGTATTACTAAATATATCAGCTCAAAAATGCTATATATTAATACAGTGTATATTGAGCTTAAACCAGTTTAGTATATGTGCCAGTTATAAGTGATGACAATAGAATATACCAAATATAGTGTATGAAGAAAATGTGACTTATTTAGTTGAAACTGTGATGAAAAAAGTATTTTGTTACATTATACATTTTTATACTCATTTATTCAACTTATTGAGAATCTGGCTTCCCTTAAATTTATTGATAATAAATAGACATATGTATATTTATTAATGCACCTATATATTTCAAAAATCAGATATATTACAGTAACAATTTAATAACTTACAAATCCAAAATTACATATAGGTTGTTGTCCAGCAAAACCATGCTTAAAGTATATAAAAAATATATACTCCAAGCATGTTTTGCTAGGCAACAACTTATATAATCATATTTTTTGTTATTACGATATAGACTAGTAATTGAACAAATCTTATTCCTTGTTTTAAACAAAAACTTGTTAACACTATTTTATTTATTAAAATTATTTGTACCAACTATGCATTTTAATATATAAGTAAAATTTTACTTACACAGATCAATAAATAACTGTGATAAGCAATTCTTCTAAATAAAACATGAAGTAGTTCCAGATTGTACTTTGTATATATTTGTTTATCAATTTCTGTTACATATTATATTCTGAGAAATACAAAATATAATATGTAGTATTGTTAGAAAATAACTTATTATATTATATATTTAGATTATTTAGCCAAATTAAACTTCATATAAAATTAAATAAAATATTAATACATCTCTTACTAAATTGTTTAGAATTAAAATAACATTCAAATATAAAGATTAAATAGCTTGAGAATTCTTGTTCTTCTTATCAATACATTATAATAAATAATTTATATAATTAAGCTCTACTTCACTTATTTATTATCAAATATCAATATGACCAGGATGGTCTTTGATTTTACAGATCATGTGGGTAGTGCTATTAATATTCTATATGCACAATATGTAAATATGCAATGCAGAATTAAGCAATAGTACTATATGTAGATCTAGTATCGATTTGCCTGCAACAATTGCTGCAAGTGACACTTCTTATATGACCTGTATAATCGAAGGCCAGGTCATATTCAAAAATTTGCAAAGATAGTAAATGCTAGTAAAACATATAATATTAGTTATTGTTATTTTAGTGAAATTGGAGTTAAAAAAGAATGAATTCAAAACTTACTAGAAAAAATACAAGAAGAACTAAATACAAAAAAAGTAAATACAACAAATTTTAACTTACCTATTACTCAACAAGATAAAGCTACTGAAACATTAAAGACTTTAAGAAAACATTATACAATAGCAAAAATTCCAGAATTTCTACTTATACTTTCATCTTTACCAGAACCAACCTGGAGAATATAAAATGTTTATTTATTATCAAAAATCTGCAAAGGTGAAAAATATAACTGGAACAAATATGGTTGGATATTGTCACTTGATTTTACTAAAATTTTTGTAGCTGTGACTTTTAAATTATAATTGTATTGTACTAACCTATGCATATGCACTAACTTGAAAATAAAGTAAAAATATACTGTATGAAAGAATTAATTTAAAAGTATTACATCTAAATTAATTTTTCACATAGCATATTTTTACTTTACTTTTAAGTTAGTGCATGTGTATAGGTTTGTATAATACAATTATAATTCAAAACTTGCAGATACAAAAATTCTAGTATAATCCAGTAGGGCCATGATGTGAGCATTAGCTACACAACTTAATACAAGTTTCCTACTATTTTATAAATAATTATTATTAACATAAATATTTATAAAGTCCAAAATTATTTATTAAAACATAAAATTTACAATGCAAACCTTTTTATCTGTGCCAAAATTTGACAAAAAATATGTGTATTCAAATTCTCAAAACATATATTAACATTTTGTTAATGCTTATGTTTTTTATAAAATGGTATCAACTGGAATATTAGACATAAATAAAGAGATATTATGCAAAGAGGCAGCCACAGAATAGCACTCTATAAAAAAAAAATTAATAATATTGAAACAAAAATTAGAGAATATTTAAATACCTCAGTACAATTGCACAGCTGTATTACAGCTTTCACAACCTAACCTTCCTCTAATCCTCTACCTAGTAATCACCAATATTAAGTCCCTTCTATAATAGAATCAATAGAACCAATTCACTCTAATGCAGTTGCACAAAAAAATGTTGTAGAAACAATTAGTAAATTAGAAGCAGAATTAACAGAATTAAGGACAATAGCCACAATAGCTACCAACCCTTAGCATTCTAGAAACCTTAGCTTTCAAATAACTGAAATTCAAAAAAATATTACTAAAGAACAAGAATGGCTTAAAAAACTTAAAAGACATGCATCTAATCAGCAAAAATTCCAAGAAAAAAAATTAAAAGCACTTAATAAAAAAAGTATTGTTGTAAGATATGACTTTCCTGGGCATCTGCCTCTTTTTTTTCAATATCTAGATATTTATGATTAAATCCACAATTGTATAGAATTTAGGAAAGCTGATGCACAAAAAAGATGTGAAATTATTAAAGTTAGAACTGTACAGCATCTTTGAGATACCTTAGAAGACAACTACAATATATATATGTCCTGTACTAGTATAAAAAACTACATTTTACCTTATTCAAACTATAGCTTGACTTCTAGAACACACTATTATCCTGCTTTCGTTGGAATTGCTGGCATTTCAAGAGATAAAAAGAAGAATTATATGGATGAGCATTACTGTTTTGCATCTGTAAGAAACACAAAACAGTTTGCTCTGACTTTTGCTAACTTTGCTGTAGTGCTCTCACAAGATGATAAAGTAAAAGTTTCAGTTAGCATTCTAGCAGTAGAAAAACACTTTTAGACTATGCAATCTATCAATGAACTAGTATCTGTTTCGAACTATGATTTTCCTGTTGACATATTACAAAAACTAATACCATCTGTCTATTTAATAATAAATCCTAAAGAATCAAATAAATTATTACAACATAGACAGTTGGCAATCTTTATTAGAGCTTAATGGCATATTAGTTCATCATCTGCCTCATATATAACAGATATTATATCTCTAGTTAGTAATGAAAATCTTTTTTCAATTTTTAAGTACAGCAGCAGCAGCAACAATAGCAGCAGTAACAATAGCAGCAGTAACAGTAGCAACAGCAATAATAGCAGCAATAGTGGTGGCAGCAGCAGCAATAGCAGCAGCAATAACAACAACAGAAGCAGTAGTAGCAACAGCAATAGCAGCAGAAGCAACAGTAGCAGCAACAGTAATAGTAGTGACAGCAGCAACAGTAATAGCAGCAGCAATAGTAATAGCAGCAATAGCAGCAATAGTAGAAGCAGCAGCAATAATATAGCAGCAGCAGCAGCAGAGAGATTAAACCTCTATGGGTTATTATTGTGAATAGTGAACCTGATAAGAATTCTCATTATTTAAAAATTGTTAATTAATATTGTATGTTGTTTCAGTTTTTGGACTTAGATTACCTGACAATTAGAACACATGCATCAGGTTAGTCAGCATACAATCTTGTAGAAAGAAGTATGGCCACACTTTTAGAAAAAATCACTGAAATTACATTAAAAATTGATCAATTTGGAAATCATTTAAACTTACATGATGAAGTTTGTGACTATAAATTAGAACTTTGTAACTTTTAACATGCTGGTCAAACTTTTGTGAATTTATAAAAAAAAGATCCTATTAATGGAAAACCTGTTTATATTAAGTATATTGATAAGCAAAATGATCTATGTACTAAAGTTAGATTTACAACACCTAAAGAAACAGGCATGCAAGATCTAAAAGAGAATGATTCACTTGTTTCTTGGTCATAGATCGAATCTCATTATCAAATTTGCAGATACTCTCTTAATATTAAAAAATATAATAATTTGTTCTGTTGTATTCTTAGACAAGCTAGTGATGCAGCTGCATTTTTAGATAAAAGTAATAGTTTTTTACCTTCAGTGACTAAAGAGAAGAATGGACATTATCTTAATGCTATACATATGCTTTAATATTTTAATAATCTAAAAATTTCTGCATATAATGCACATCTTCCCTCTTTTTCAGCTGAAGATTACTCAAGATAATGTTGCAAAATATGTAATAAATAGTTTCTTACTACTGCCATGCTTGTAAAATATAAAAAAACTATTCACTCCAATAATCAAGCTCAAAGTCTAAATCAATAATGTCAACAAACTAATCAGCAACCTTAGACAATTTTTCTTTATTACCTTCATTATCTAAGATATGGCCACAGGTTGTAATTATGCAGTTACAATCTCTCTTTGATATTGAATAGGTAAATATAACAATATAAAAAGTTAGTAAATATAAATGCAAGTTATCTGAATAAGTAGAAAAACTTTCTATAAAATAAGTAAAGATTTTTTATACATATTGGTATTGTTATTATATTTATATATAAAATAAATAAAATAGTGAAGTGCATACATATTAGAATATCAAATAATGATAATATCTATAGATATAAGGTCATGATAATTAGCTAATAATTTTAAAAAATTCATCTTTTTAATATAAAAGAAACTTTATACAAAGTTATAAATTAAATATACAAAAGAATTAATTTATTTTAATATATAGCAAATAGATAGATATATGTAAAGTAGAGTAAAGGTAATATTTATTATTAATAAATCCAAACTTATTAATACAATCTATGATCTATGAACTAAAATGTATTATAGTTGACAGATCCAAACACAATGCAAGAACCAAAAAGTATTAAGCTTGAGACTTCTTTTATAGTAAATCTATTCTTATTCAAATTCAATAGTTAGTAATAAAAGTTTTTTAAAAATCTAACATAATAAGGCAGTCTTGAGCAAAAACATTTTTACTTATCTTTATTTCTGTATAAGCTAAGATCATCTAATAAACAGCAGATATATTTTGGCAAAGTTCATCAAGATTAGGATTATTTGAGATTATTTTGTCTAATGAATATTAATATTTGTTTAAAGTTAGAAATAGCTTTTGTAGCAATTTTCATTAGTGAAATGTTAATAGGCAATTGATTTAATTTTTCTCTTATGAGATAGTATAGGATAAGAGTCAAGTTATACATACTGAGGAGAAGGTATAGGGTAATAGTTAGGTTATACATCCTAAAAAGAGTAGGTATAAGGAGGCTGTACCCTATATAAGAAAATAATGTTACATAATAGATTAATATGTTTTACAAGACATCTTGCTTATCTTTTAAGTGAAGTTGAAGTATTAGAACTGCACTACAACATATTTTTTGAATCTCTGTAAATCCAACACCATTGTATTGCTATGTCTTAGCAAAGTTACATATGTAAAATATATAGCTAAAGTATAAAACCACCAAGATATTTAAATTTTACATACTAAATGAAGGAAAAGGAGTATAAAACTAAGAAGCAATGATTCAACAAAGATAAAGGTCCAAGTATATATTTATTTAATTATTATTATATATATATATAGAAATTTTTTAATTAGTTAATAACAATAAATATAACTAAATATATAATTTTTTTTTTTATATTGTTTAAGAATTTATATGAATTTATATATACTTGTATACCAAAGTTGTAAATGTTTCTAATAAACAGCAGAATGTATTGATTGCATAGATGCTTAAGTTTTAGATTATGTATAGAGCAAATTGTATCAAAGATTATTAATTTTATTATAGTATATAGATAGAATTTAATTAATTAGTCAATATATTGATAATAAAAAAAAACATGCTTATATATTACAACAAAGTTTAAGATATTTGTTTTTTAACTTAAATATTCAATATTTAACTTGATTTTTATCTCATTTTGCTTTGTTTTCAACTTTTTTGTATTTTTTACTTGTAAAAATTTACAATTTTGATTGGTTTGAAGATCTTTGTAAGTGATTTGAAGTTAGTACTTTCAACAGTCTCTCTTCGATAGGAGGTTAGCTAAAGCAGAGCAGAATCATGTACCACCAGACCAACCCCAATCTACAATGACTCTAACCTTAAACTTAATTCAATAAAATATATATTATACAAATCTGCTTGGTTAATTGTTATAGATCTACTCATGATTTTTCATGATAGTAAAAGAATTTATTATTCTAGTGCTATTAAAAAATGAAAAAAAACTTTACATAAAGAAGCTTACAAACTAATAAATATATACAGAAGAATTTATCATATAGAGAATAGATAGATATATGTAAAGTAAATAAATGTAATATTTATTGCTAATAAACTCCAACTTATTAAAGAATCTACAAAATATAAACTAAACTCTAATTTATAGTTATATTAGTCCATATACACTAAAAAACTGCTCAAACTTAAATATTAAACCCTGGAATGTATACTATAAAAGAGCTTGAACCTATACAACTTAAGCAGTTAGCAACAAAAGTTTATTTAAATCTAATATATTAAAGTAGTTTTAGATGAAAACAGTTCTAGTTACCTTTATTCTATAGTGTAATTTTACACAATCCAATAGACATTGGTAAATTTTGTCTTCTAAATAAAGTAAGTTAGAAGCAAGACCATTTAAAGATTATTTTGAACCATGCATTTTTAAAAGTACTTTAAAGTGTATAAATAAGAAACTGAGTAATTAGGTGTACTATAAATACCTGACCTTTCTTTATATAAGGTAAGTATAGCATTGTGAGTACTATTCAATTTGTCTTATCAAGATGAATCGAATAGTACTAATAGCATCTAATTTGAACTATAGGGCTGAGAGTTATATGTTACATGAAATCAAAAGAGAGTATTGTAGTTGATAAGGGTATTGTGGCAGATCTGCTATCACTATAACTTGTAGTCTATCTGTCCAAATTAGATGATTTTTATACTATTTAATCTGTCTTATCAAAATGATTCAAATGATATAAAAATAATTTGATTTTGACCACTATATTACAAAATATTGATGTTTAAATATAATATTAATTTTTTAAAAAAAATTAATTTACAACATTTGAAACCAATATCTCATAATCCAGTAATCGAAACCAAATAAATTTTACATCATAAAAATTATTTAATTTGAATTAATAGATCATGAGTTATAATAGATTCATCATGATACCCTTATCTACTACTATACCTATATTTACTTTATATATTATATATAATATATATGTGTAATCTGATTTTTGGTTAGACCTCTCTACCCCCTAAAAAATCAAAAGATAAATAACATATCTCTAACTTGATTGTGATGATCAGTTAAGAGGTCAAAAAGGATATTAATAATAGATAAAGAAAGTGCTAGACAAGAAAGTGAATGTTTAAAAAAAGTAAAGTTAACAGAGTCATATGCTTTACTCATATCTTGTAAAAGTAGCTAAATGTTTTTATGATTGCAAGTAGCATCTTCAATAAGGTTGTTGAGAATATGAATAGGGATTAAAGTGCTGTTGTTAGGAAGTGCAACATAATTAAAAGGTGAGAGAATAGGATTAGAAGAAAATATGGTGCTTAGTCTATTTGTAAGAATTTTGGTATATAGTTTGTGAATATATTCGACAAAACTAATAGGTCAAGTAAGATTAAGATCACTATCAAAGGAGTTATGTTTAGAAATAGGATAAATTCTGCTATGTTTCCATTGCTTAGGAATTCTATTTTCAAGAAGACAATGGTTAAAGAGACTGATAATAGCAGAAGTGCATTCAGGGCTAATATGTTTGAGCATTTCATAACTAATGCCTGTAGGACTACAGGCTTTATTGTTAGGAAGCTGAGAAAGAGTTAGAGAGAATTCTTTATTTGTAATAGAGGAGTTTAGGGATTGGTACTAAGTTGGATTGATATGAGGGAGTGAAAGATAATGTTGTTACCAAAAATTGTTAAAAAGAGTTTGATTAATAGGTCTAAATGCAGTCTAGTTATAAAAATATAATTAAATATGCTGTTTAATGAGTGATAGATCAGTTATAAGCTCATTAGATAATTTTATATTGGAGAAATAAACAGGTTGATGATAGCAGTTAAGGATGCTATTAATAGCTTGTATAGGATGTGATATAAGAGTAACACATCTTTTGTCAATGGCTTTGTTGATTTGTTGTCGAAGTAGAAGAGAGTTTTCAAGGTGACGAGCATGAAAGAGTTGTTTCCAAATAGAG